GCAACCAATATAAATACTAATACCTGATAAATACTAATTCTTTAAACAGAAAAGGGCATCAAATTTTATGTCAAGCTGGGTGCAGTGGCTATAATCCAGTGTCTGTAATTCCAGTGGCTCAGGAGGCTGAGGCAGGAGGATTCTGAGTTCAAAGCCAGCCTCAGTAATAGCAAGGCACTAAGCAACTCAGTGAAACCCTGTCTCTAAATAAAATACAAAAAAAAAAAAAAAAAAAAAAGGCTGCAAATGTGGTTCAGTGGTGAGTGCCGCTGAGTTCAATCCCTGGTACCAAAAAAAAAATTATGTCAAACAAACCTGAGTTTGAATAATTCTGCTCCATACAACATTTTTCTTGGAGGGTGCTTGCATAGGTTAAGTAAGATGATTTGTATATGATATAGCAATTGGCAGAAGTGAAGTGTTTAGTAAACTTCATTATTACTGCCATTACTGTTATTTCTCAGGCCTAAAACTCCCTCTCTTATACCCCCATCTATGGTTACCCCCATGCATAAAGGTAGGAGAAAGAAAAGCAATTGACAAAGGGATAGTAAAATTTCAGTGTAGTTTGTACTCCCTGTGGTGATAGCATCCCTCTGGCTTTGGGGTCTCCTTCTGCAGGGTTTCTTCTTTACATTCGCCATGACAGAGCTGGGCTCTGGCCAAGACCCCAGCTTTCTCCCTGCAGACCTACTTACTGTGATCACATCCTAATGCTGTTGTTTCAACCTCTCTTCAATTTGAGCCTGTGTTTGGTGTCCTCTGCAGTCTATATCTCCCCCAAAACACTCTTCTTTTCCTCTGAGTAGCTAGAATCAAAGTTTTAGAAATCACCTCGTCTAGCCCCTCAAAAATTTTAATTTCAAAATTAAAGCAGTCATTTAAAAAAAAAATATTGGGCTGGGGATGTAGCTCAGTGGTACAGCACTTGCCTAGCATGTGAGAGGCCCTGGGCTTGATCTCAAGCACTATAAATACATACATAAATAAATAAATATGCATAACTAAATTGAGTAAAGTGGGACTTTCCCCAACCAATCTACACAAATTCATCAGTCATCATGTCAGTATGTGCATTGTGCAAAAACATTTGAGTTTTCTCTGCATTGTGGGTCTGTGATGTTACTTATTTCTATTTCATAAGCCTTGACTGCTATTAAGTCTCCCAACTCTCTAGAGATCCACAATCTAAGTATGGATCACTATTGATTAATGGGAAACAGAACACTGATAGCAATCACAAACTCTCACACCTCTGTCCACACTAATATCCCTCTGAGGCCCACAGTATAAACATAGTAAATATGGTAAATGCAAAAAGAGCTTACAGTAAATATAGCAAATAAGAGAGATGAAAGGAGATTCCAAGGAGACAGCCCTGGTGCTTGTACACAGCAAGGGGAGAACAAAGAGAACTGGGAGCCTTGGAGGTGGCAGGCAGGGAAGCAGGCGAGACAGACGATGAAATGAGTCAGAGAGTGAATGAGGGCACTGGGTCGCCTCAACTGTGGCTTAGCTGCCCCCAGAGAGTGGTATGAACTGGAGGAAGGGACTGGGGGGTGATGAGAACTGGAGATGATGCCATAACTCAGAATGTGGGGCCAGGAGTGAGTTGAAGATGGGAAGCAAAAGCTTGGCTAATTTCTAGGCGGGACCCTTGCTCCTGATTTCGGAGGTCTCTGAGATCTCTTCTGCTTGGCTCTGCTCCCTGCCTTGGCAGGGTTATGGCAAGGCAGCTGGGATGGCAGGGTAAGGAAGGAGTTAAGCAGACAACAAAGATGTCAGTGCTTGAGATCACTGGACCCCTGCTTGGCAGCCAGAAGCCACCCTGTGGCTGCTAATGCCCTCCATTTATTTGGTGCTTGATCTCATTTAATCTTCAGCACAACCATCTCCACTGCACTCCCTTAGGAACCCTCAAAGTGTTTCCACCATCCCAGAAACATACCATGCTGGACCAGCTGGTGCCTTAGGGGCTGCCACCAGGGAGGCTGGGCCCATTCTGGGCTTGCTCCCTACTGATTTTCCTGGACTGGATGTGACAAGAAGTCACAGGATGTGGAATCATTCTCCTCCTGGAATTTCCCCTTGCTTAGATCTGAAAGCCAGCACATAATGACCATTTCACCCACTCCCCAGGGAGCTATGTCAGCCTTCTCCTCTTCATTAGGCAAATGAAAATTCAAGGCCTAGAGAGGCAGAGTCCTTTGCCCTGAGTCACACCATGAACAAACAAGGAGGAATCTGACTGGAGCAAGTGCAGATTTGGGGGCATCAGAAAACCTGGGTTCCACTACTGGCTTTGCCACCAACAGCCAAGGTCACCGACCAGGCTCCATTTCCACAGCCTTGCTTTTCATAACTGTCAAGTGGAAACAGCAACACCCATCTCTTGTGCTTGTTAGGAGGATTAAATGAGATTAAGATGGCAAAGTGTTATGTAAAAACAAATTACTGATTGTCAAGGAGCACAGGTAACCTGATGACCTTGGAACAATGGAAAGTTCTGGACCAAGTATGAAAATTCTGGGCTCTGCTCAGTTCACCTGTGTGGCCCTGGGCAAGTTCCAGGCCTCAAGTTTCTCAAGGCCCCCACCAGCTATAAAACTGTGGTGTTACATGAGCTATATCTCTAGTGAAAGAATTCCAGCACTGGCCACCCTGATAGCATGCTCTCTCTTTCTGTTTCTTTTTTTTTTTTTCCCTCTTTCTCTCTGTCTCTCTCTTTCTCCCACTCCCCCTTCCCCTTCATCCCCTCTGTTTCCTAAGACAAGGCTGACCATTAATTACCAGGCTCAAGCAATCCTCCTGCCTCAGCCTTTCAAATAGTTGGGACTACAGGTATATGCCATCCTGCCCAGCTACACCCTGATCTCTCTTTTATCTGTAGCTCATGTTGCCTTAGATCCAAGAATTTTATTGAGGGAAGGGAGTCAGTTCTATGTAATAAGAACCTTTGCTCTATCCCTTCTACCTACTTCCTCAGGCAACTTGAGTGTCTGCACTCTCCTCCCTTCTTAGTCTTTGTTTCTCCCATTGCCTCCCAATTTTGATGGGGTGGGAGATTTCTTTCGTAGTGTAACAAATAACAAACGTTATTTGTTATGGCTCAGCACTAGCGCACTTGCCTGGCATGTGTGAGGCACTGGGTTCGATTCTCAGCACCACATATAAATACATAAAATAAGGACTGGGTATGTAGCTCAGTTGGTAGAGTGCTTGCCTTGCATGCACAAGGCCCTGGGTTCTATCCCCAACACCAAAAATAAAAAATAAAATAAAAATAAATAAATGAAATAAAAGGTCTATCAACAACTAAAAAAAAAAAAAAAAAAGGACCAGGTAAGATTTCCCAATTGAAAACACCAACTTGCCTAGATTCCCTCCCTGTTAGGGAGGACTTGGCTAACTGCCCCAACTTAATATCCTGCTTTTCCCAGGATAGCCCAAAGGGTGCAAAGGCTCTGATCCTTCTTCTGAGGAAGCAGCTCAGCATAACCCTGGCTGAGCTCTCAGAGGTGAATTAAATATTAAACACATAAGGCCAGAGCCCCTCGAGCAGCAGCACATTTCCAGCACACAGACAATGCCTATAGCTTGGCTATCATTCTTCCAGTGGCTGTGGGCTGGCCTTTCCTGCTCCCAGCCCACACTCCTAAGAAGGAAGAAGAAATGGCAATGTTTTGCTCTTCTCAGCAAGCTCAATGTTCCCTGTGTCCTTCCTCCAACCCCCAGTACTGAAAGCTTCGAGGAGCTAGAGATGCCTAGAACACTGAGTTGCGGCATCTGCAGCATTGAAATTTAACAGGTTTGTGACTGGCTAGGCAGGGGCCTCATAGCTCAGCCTCACTTAGGAGCTGGAGGCTCCCATGGGAAGGGAACAGCTCAGGAAGGACACTGAGGTCCTGATATCTCTCAGGGCAATGGGAAATTGGAGACTACTAAGATGAAGCCTGGGTGTGCAGGCCATTTGGTTTTTTTCCTTAGATTAATACAGGTCACAGAATTGTCAGATTGGTAGAACCTCAGAGATCACCAGGCTAATGTTATATTTTACAAAAAAAAGAGAAACTGAGGCATGAAGAAAGGGGAAAACAATGTACACAAGGTTATTCAGTGGGCTGGAGAAGAGCTAGGCCTAGACTCTAAGGCTCTGGTATACAGCCCACCATACATCCTGCTTGATTCCCTGAATCTTCTTCTTAATGACACCAAACAAGGGGCCTGGCACTAAATGGACCTAGCACTGCATGGCCTAATGGACAATTTTCATAGGGAACAGAATCCACTCAGGTTCCTGCCTTGACATTGAAGAAATAAAAAGCATAAGGTCCATGGGTTCCAGCTCAGTTTTGCCACTTTGTAGGATAAAATCTTGGTCCTTTCACTTCTCTGAGCCTGAGTTCCTCATCTAGAAAATGGGGATTTAAAGGTTAGGGGTGTAACTCAATAGTAGAGCATTTGTCTAGCATGTGCAAGGCCCTAGGTTTGGTCCTCAGCACCATTAAAAAAAAGGGAGGAGGGCTGGCTAGTATTAAGGATCAAGTAAGATCATGTGTGAGGCATTTTGTAAACTGTGAATTACTATCTGAATGGTAGAGATAATATTATGTGAGAGGTCTGAAGATGCTGCAGAGGGGAAAAGCATGGTGTGGGAGAGGCTGTGCAGGAGCAAAAAACCACACTCCCATGGGGTGGGGCCCTGTATGGCCATTCACAGACCTGACTGATCCTGGAGCCACCAGAGAGACTAACACTCACAGGTCAAACTGCCCCAAGTTCACTGTCTCGACAACCCCAGCCACTTTGCTTCGTGTGCATGCATGTGCCCAACTGTCAATTACAGCGATTTGCCTGGCTGCTCCGGGGCAGTGGGTGGGGCATGGTGCTGAGGAAGGATACCCCACTTTGGGCCAGCTCACAGACCCTCAGAGAAGAGCTGGGCAGCCAAGACCCTTGCAGGGACTTCTCTCATGCTGGGGCTCCTCTGGGGCCCTTACCTTGTACTTGGCTGCAAGCAGCTCTGTGGCCTGCTGCTCCCGCCGCAGGTCCTCCAGCATCTTCTCCTTCTCCTCCAGCAGCTTCTGCTTCTCCTCACTCACCAGGCTGCGGTCATCCTGAATGGCCGCCTTCTCTTCCTCCAGCCGTTCCTTCTGTTCCTGAAGGTAATTCTCCATGTTCTTCTCCAAGGCTGACTCCAGGATGGGCTGGGGCGGGCGGTGGTTGTTGTTGTTGTCATCCTCCTCTTCAGCCACCCAGGCCTCAATCACTGGCCCTTCAGGGTACCCAGCTGGGGCCGATACAGCCTTCTTCCTGCGGCTACTCTTCCTCCGGGGCCTCTTCCCCAGCATCCCCCTCTTCTCCAGCTGGGCCTTCAGGCGGGCAATCTCCTCCTGGAATTCCCGCAGCAGCGTGTCCTTGGGATCCTCATTCACCCGAGGCTTGTTCTTGATGTTCTTGGCTCGATTGGCAAAGCGAAGGGTGGAGAGGCTCTCATCATAGCTGTGAGAAGCTGGCCCCAGTGTGGCCACCATGATGGTCTTGGCATTCCCGCCCAGAGAGTCCTGTAGCAGCCGGGTCAGCTTAGAGTCCCGGTAGGGGATATGGGTGCTCCTGTTACCGGCCAGAGCAGCAATCACGTTACCCAGGGCAGACAGAGAGAGGTTGATTTTGGAGGCTTCCTTAGGTCTCTCTCCACCGCTGCCACCACCACCTCCATTGCCACTGCCACCACCACCCGTAGACTGTGTGGCTGTCCCTCCAGCGGTGTTAGGGCCTGCCTTGTTCTGCCTCTCACTGCCAGCCAGGTCCACCAGATTGAGCTTCCCCACACGGATGTGGTCCTGGCCATCAGAGCCACGCTCACTGCACTCCACAGTGATCACGAAGATTGCGTGGGAGCGGGAGCTGACCTCATTCATGTGGGTGCTGCCCACCGCACGAGTCTGGTTCCCCAGGTTCATCACATGTTCGATCTCTTTGACATTCTTGGTGACAAAGGAAGAAAGGTCCTTGATGTAGACCCCTGTCTCAGGATTTTCCTTCAGCTCTAGCCTCTTGCCTGGCTCCTTGGAGAGAAGGTCTCGAATCTCCTCCTGGTAGATCTCCAAGTAAGAGGCTCGGACTAGGTACTGCTGGTTCTGGGAGCGGGAGATGTGGGTGAAGATGTGTTCAAAGGCGTTGGGGATGACCCCGCGCAGCTCAGGCTCCACCCAGGTTCCCTGCATCGTGTAGGTCTTGCCAGTGCCCGTCTGGCCATAGGCAAACACTGTGCCATTGAAACCCTGAAGCACTGAGTCTATCAGGGGCCTCACGGTTTCATCATACAGGTCTGCCTGCTTGGAGCTGGCATCGTACACGGCGTCAAAAGTGAAGGTCTTGGGCAGCTCTCCAGGGGCTGCACGGGGGTTCCGCAGGGTCACCTGGCCCAGTTTCACGTCCATGGTCAGGATCTGCTCGTGACCAGCTGCCTCCTCCTTCCTGCTGAGGGGGCGGCACCGGGCCACCACCTTCAGGGCCTCACTGGTCTTGGTCTTACTGGCCATCTTGCTGCTCTGTCCTTTCCTCTGCTCCCCTCGGCAGCCTTGGCGGTCCTGCTGTCCTGTTCCTTAGGTCGGGATCGGCGGGGCCGGCCCAGCCCCCAGGCGCCGCTCTTCAATCCGCATGCAGCCTCCTAGGGTGGGGATGCTGGGAAGTGGCCCCGCTGCTGCTGCAGTCCGGGCCTCCACTGCTTTCAGATCCTCGGTGTACCGGCCGGGGAGGTAGAATTAGGCAGAATCTCCGGGCAGCCGCGGGAGCAGCGCCTGCCGAAGGGCAGTGCCGGGAGCCCGCCCCATGCTGGGGCAGAGGGAGCGCTGCTGTAAACAGCTCCGGCAACAATGAGATAAAGGAAGAGGAAAATGGGATGGGGGTGGGTGGCAGGGCTGTCTTCGCCTCCTCCTCCTCCTCCCTCTAGGGATCCATGGCTGGGGCTGCCGTGCGGGGCGGCCGGGGGTCCCGGCCCTCCCGAGGGCAGAGGCTCACCTGGAGTCCTGCCCCCCAGCTGGGGGATCATTCATTGCAGCCAGCGCGGCTGCTGCTGCCTCTGCCTCCGCCTTCCCCACCGCCGCCACCAGAGAATGAGAGAAAAACAGAAGGGGATGGGGCGGAGCAGCGGCGGCGAGAGTGATGTTGCCGCCGCCGCGCTGCGGCCCCAGCTAAGTCTCCCGGCTGGGGTGGGGCAAGGGGCGGGGCCGTGGGGCGGGGGCCGCAAGCTGGGCGCGGCCCGTAGGCGGGGGACCCGGGTGCATTGCCGCCTGCACCCCGCCGACCCCTCCCGGATGACAGGCTCGGGTGCCGATCCAGGTCCTGAGCCCACCAGTCGGATGCAGCGCAGCCACAGCCCGCCGTCACCCCACCGAGCTCGAGCATGCTGGGAGATGTAGTCCTGCCTTTGTTAACCGGGTTCTGGCAGGTTGCTAATGTCTTCTCCAGTCCTCCAGTCCCGGAGCCCCTCCCTTTCCCGAGTGAAAACCTCGAGTGACTGCTGAGGTTGCACCATCCACGCTTGTTCCCTCCGCAGGTACCTCCCTGCGTCTCCCGCTGCTCCTGCCTTTCTGTCCGCAGATGGGTACATGCCACCAGTTTCCCTTCTGGGTGTCGCCAGGCCTCAAGGAGCCTAACTCCTAAATGTTTCTGGAAGTTATCCTTTCCGCTCCCTAACCTGGTTTACTTCTGGCCTTCCTTTTATCTCTGCTGGAACCGATGATTCCTCACCTCAGGTCCACGAAGGCACCCTAGCTCCTTCTGCAACTCCTCCAACTCTTTCCACATGCTACAAGAGCCTATCCCTCTTCTGACCTCCCAGCCTCATCTCCAATACTCTCCTCTGGAGTATCTGCCTCCAAACATTTTATCTAGCACTTGCTGAGCACCGGCCCATTGGAGGAGCTGCGTTATTCTCATCCTCAAGGAGCACAGATTCTAGGAACCATGTTTTGTTTCCTTAACTGGCTCTTTGTTGCACCCTTGTACCTTTACCCAGAGATCCAATCACTCTTCTGCACGTGGTTCCGTGCCACTTGGGCAGAAGGAGTACTTCCTCCTTCATGAAGCCTTCCCTAACCAGTTCCCCCCTCCCCTGAAAGAGAGAATTTGCATAAAGCAAAACCTGATTCCAGTTCCAATCTGATCTCCATCCAACAGTGTGCCTTTGAGCAATTACTTACTTTGCTCAAAGTTTCCTCATCTGCTCAAAAGAATTGGAGATGGAGAGAAATAATATCTGTATCACAGAGTGGATGGAATACTCAAATGAAACAATGGATCATGAGGTATCTTACCAATGAGAAACCCTTAATATGGGTACATGGTCTGGCTTCAATTGTCTGACAGTATCTTCTTCCTTGAGTCTTCTAGATAGACCAAGTGGGTGCTTGGTGTTCCTCTTTGAGGTCTTCATATTTTATGCCTCTAGAATACAAAGGAAGTGTAATTAGTGTAGTTCCACAAGTCCACGGATCAATGTTCCACTCTGCAAGGGGAGGTGAATCATGGACTGAGCTGTCCTTATTTTTCTCCATATGAGATTCAGATGAAGGATAGGCTATTACCTGAAACTTCAAAGTCCTTCTTCCATTTGCAATAATGCTATTCTGTAGATGCCAAATTGTTGAGTTCTTCAAATCTGAAGAACTTATCTCCTGACTTCTTCCCCATTTCAAAGTCTCTAGGACTTGAATGTCAACTAGGATAGAGGCTTGGTTTGCACACTTCTGAAGTTTCTGGGCCTTCCTCTCCCTTCTCATGATTAAGCTCCACTGCTTGTGATGATCTTGGCTTTGGGGTCAATTACTGGGTGAGATTTTGACCTTATAAACTAACATCTCTTGGCTCAAGCAACAGACTTTTGGATGCACCATTTGTTTCTTAAACTATATTCTTGTTTAACTTGGCTTTGGTTTTTTTTTTTTTTAATATTTATTTTTTAGTTTTCGGACGGCACAACATCTTTGTTTGTATGTGGTGCTGAGGATCGAACCCGGGCCGCACGCATGCCAGGCGAGCGCGCTACCGCTTGAGCCACATCCCCAGCCCCTTGGCTTTGGTTTTTGAACACCCTTTCTCTATTTTGGCTAACACATCTGCCACTAAAGTGCTGAATAAAATGGATCTTTACCCTGTTCTCACCACCTGATGTTACCACCTGGCAAGGCACCAACCCAGATCCTTCTGTATGGAAGATTGAAACGCCTTTGCTTACAAGATGTGTGACCCCCCAGGAAATTATTTAACTTCTCTGAACAATTATTTTCTCAGTGGGATAAGTAAAGATAAGAATGCTTACCTTACTCACAGGGCTTACATAAAATTAAGTTAGATAACATATGTAAAAACTTGAAGGCTATAAAAAGAACTCAAGAAATCATAGTTTTCTTTCCTTTTGTCCTTTGCATTCAAAGCTATTCATGTTATGAGTTTCCCTTTCAGTACTGGTTTCAACCATTCTTCCTCCCTCTTATATTCTTGAGTCTCTAGCCACTCTGACTTGCTTGAGGTCCCCTAAACATTCCATGGTTGGGTTTTTTTTGTTTGTTTGTTTGTTTGTTGTGTTTTTTTTTTCTTTTTAGTAAAATGGATCCTCACCCTGTTCTCACCACCTGATGTTACCACCTGGCAAGGCACCAGCCATATCCTTCTATATGGAAGATTGAAACCAGTCCAGACTTCCCTTCTGAGTTCCAGACCTATCTACCCATTTCTCTAATGGATATAGCCACTTGATTGGTTCTCCAAGAGCTTGAAATTCTATTGTTCACATTGAATTCATCATTTTTCCCTCTAAACTAGCTCCTCTAAATATGGTCGTTAGCCCTATAAACAGCACATCCCTCACCCCTAATGTATCCATTCAAACCCCAAATACTGTCAACTCAACTTCCTAAGTATTTCTCAAATCCATCGACTTCTTCTCCAACTTCCATAGCCATTATCATGGCCAACCCATCATCTTCTCTGGTCTGGTCTCCCACAATATCTTCCAATCTGGTCTCCCTTGATCCCTACTCATCTATTCTCTACAAATTAATCTTTTATAGACATATGTCTGATCATGTCACTCTAGGTGGAAAACCTTCCAAAGCTTTTCATTGCTTTTTTTTTTTTTTTTTTTGGTATTGGGAATTGAACTCAGGGGTGCCACATCCCTAGCACTATTTATTTATTTATATTTTTTTTATTTATAGACGGACACAATATCTTTATTTATTTATTTTTATATGGTGCTGAGGATCGAATCCAGTGCCTCACACATATGAGGCAAGCACTCAACCACTGAGCTATACCCCAGCCCTCCTAGCCCTTTATTTTGAGGCAGGGTATAGCTAATTGCTTATGGCCTCACTCAGTTGCTGAGACTGGTCTTGAACTTTCCATCCTCTTGCTTCAGCCTCCTGAGTCACTGGGATTACAGGCATGAGCCACCATGCCTGTCCTCATAGCTCTTAAGGTAAGGTCCAAATCATTAATGCAGCCCGCAGCGCCACCTACTTACTGCCACAAGGCTTTCATGTGCTCTGTTTCTGCTACTGGGATACTTATCTTCACCATCTGTATCCAAATTCCTCCTCTTCGTGCTTCAGGTCTCCACCTGAATGTCACTTTCTAAAGGAATTCTTGTTCTCATCCTTCCCTGTTCTTTCCTTTGCAGAACTAAGCATAATTATCATTAATTACTTGTCCACCTCCCTGTTGCTCAATGAAAACAATAAAGATGTAGCATGTCTGTTTTGTTTTTTGGTACCAGGGATTGAACCCGAGCACTTAACCACTGAGCCACATCCCCACCCCTTTTTTTTTTTTATATTTTATTTAGATACAGGATCTCGCTAATTTCTTCAGAGCCTGGCTAAATTGCTGAGAATAGCTTTGAACTTGCAATCCTCCTGCCTCAGCCTCCCAAGTTTCTGGGATTACAGATGTGCACCACCACACCTGGCTCAATGAGTATTTTTAAAAAAAAAAAAAAAAAGTTGTAGATGGACACAATATCTTTATTTTAATTATTTATTTTTTATGTGGTGCTGAGAAATGAACACAGTGCCTCATACATTTAAGGCAAGTCTCAACAACTGAGCCACAACCCCAGTCCTCAATGAGTATTTTTAAAATAAATTAAAGCCTTGTATGACCATCACTCTTCTGAGAGATTCCTTTGACACTCCTGACTCTACCATCAGAATTAATCTTTCCTCACCTTATGATTCTATAGCTTTGCCTTTTTTTCCAGTGCTAGAGACCAAACCCAGGTCTTCTAACTAGTATTATAGTCACTATAGTTAGACCTATACTGTGGTTAACTGATTCTGTCTCCATCACCATAATGTATGCCCCCTGCAGACAGGGGCTGTGAATTTTGTATTTGTGTCTTCTTTCCCCATACCCAACATGTAGCTACACACTGTTCATGATTGTATATACTTTAGGTAATCAATATTGGGTATTAAACAAGCGAATGGATGGTCAAAGAAATTTGGAGCAAGAAAATGATGAAATGAGACCAAACAGTGACAATAATAGGCCCTTAAGTGCACAGAATGATCTGTAGTTCATAAAGTATCATTGTTTTTATTATCTACTTGGCCCTCATATTAATCTCCAAAAAAGGGAAAATATGAATATCTCTTCAGATTGATGAAGTGACTAGGGAAGAAAACCCAGCTATTAGGACTCCAACCTGGTAGTCTTTCTATGGGGTAAACTCACTGAGGGGGCAAGTTCCAGTTCAGTTGCTTCTTAGTCCTGGTTTGACTGGTAGCTTCCTGGGGCACAGGCCCATCCTTGACTTAGTGGGAAGAGGAAGAACCTTTGCTTCATTTTCTTTGATAACAAATTTCTTTTTCCTCCAATGGGATTCCCATACCAGCATCTCTTGGTCCCCGTGACAGCCAGAGTATGACTATACAATTCTACCAGGAAGACAGAATTTTTTTAAAATTTTTTTTTTTTTTTTGAGAGAGAGAGAGAGAATTTCAATATCTATTTTCTAGTTATCGGCGGATACAACATCTTTGTTGGTATGTGGTGCTGGGATCAAACCCGGGCCGCACACATGCCAGGCGGGCGCGCTACCGCTTGAGCCACATCCCCAGCCCAGGAAGACAGAATTCACTCTTTAATAATCCTGGGGCCCACAAATTGATGTTCAAATGCAATTAATAATTTAGGATTTGGATTTACCCTGCAAAACTAAGTGATGCCACCAGAGGGAGATATGACCATGTGACAAAATTACTGGATGAGCTCTATTTCTACACTGTCAATTGCTAAAAGGTTATCTAATAATAGACTTTCCAATGTGTCCAAGACTATATTTTAAAATTATGTGTGTATGTATGTATGTATAT